TAAGGTAGAAAACTAATTATAGACATATAATCTTAGAGTCAATTAAAGAAAATATTCTTGAGGTGAGTAGTAGTAGTAGTATAAAAAATAGAAAGTCATCTCACATACTCTTTACCTCTCTCAATACTGTTCTTATCTTTCTTCATTCCCTGTAGTCATTTTTATAGTTATATATCTCAACACACACACTTTACTTTATGGTAGTGCTGGAGATCCATCAAACCCAGAGCCTTGCACATGCTAGGAAAGTGCTCTGTCACTGAGTTATCCTCACAGTCCATATTCATTTTTAAATGCAATTAAAGCACATACACTTACTTTTTATTTTGTGAATACTCATTGAGTTCCTGTCATTTTAGGTTATGGTTAAATGTGTGCCTTGAGGATCCAGTGAATATGGCTGCTAATCCCAGTTTTGCCATCTAGTAATTGTGTACTTTGAGTCTAGGTATTTAGTCTCCTTGTGCTTCATTTTCCTCATTTGTAAAATGGAATTTACTATATCATACGGTTAATGTGAGGAGTACATGATTATCCATTTAAAGCACTTAGATTATTATGTGTCTGGCCCTTTGTAATTACTAAAGAAGTGATGTTTGCTCCTCATCATTAACATTGGTATTAGCATACAGAACTGAAAAGAAGACCAAGATCCCTTATTTAAATGGTAGTAGAAGAGAAGGATAATATATAATTAATTAAAAATAAAATAGGCAGGAGAGTCCTAGGGCTAGGCAGTGATGATAATTGAGGTTGCAGTTTTATGCTGGGGGGTCAGTGAAAGCTTCACTATGAAGTAGACATTTGACATTTGAGGGAGTCAGCCAGAAAGATGTGTTAGGGTAAAGTTTAACCAGGCAGAAAAAACAAAGTATAACTAGCTCAGCAGTTTTCACAACGAGAGTTGTGGATGGGTGGCCAATGTGGTCAGAGAATAAGGAAGTAGAGAGTTGTGGGAGGGATGCTGATGGGATTTGGGAAGATACCAGATTTGGTAGAATCTTATAAGTTATGGTGTGAATTTTGGCCTTTATTTTTGAATTGGAATTCCATTAATAGGATTTGAGAACAGGATTATATGCTCTGGTTTGATTATATGGTAGCAAAGGCAAGAATAGAGGTAAGTTAGGATGCTATTGAAATAATTGAGGAAAGACGTCATTGACTGAAAATGGTTGCAATGGAGGTGATGAAAAGGGTCAGATCTGGATACATTTTGAAAACTGAGCCAGTATTTGCTGACTGGTTAGATGTAAGAGAGAGTCAAAGACATTTGGAGGATTTTGGCCTAAAGAAATTGGAAAGAGAGAGTTGCCATCAAATGAGATGGAGAAGACTGGATGGAACAAGCTTGGATGAGGTGGGAGAAGATCAGGAGTTCCTGATTGGATATAGGAGTGTAAATATGGAGTTCAGAAGAGAAGTCTGTGCTGTCTGTGCACATTTAGGAGTAGTCAGCCCATACATGACATTTATAGGCAAGAGATTGGATGAAATCACTGAAGGAATTAGAGTAGCTAGAGAAAAGGATCATTCCAAAGTCCAAAGCATTCTGTTGTAACAGTCAGATAAATTGGAAAGATCCAGCAAAGGTGACCATAAAGGAGTTGCCAGAGATGATGAAGGGAAGCTGTATGAATACCTTTGGCGAAAGAATTTCAAGAAGAGGTGATCACCTGTAACAGATGCATCTGTTTGGTCACTTGTGAACTGATCTTTAAATTTACCAAATTTGGGATGTTTTTAGGCATTAGTTTTTCAAATAATTTTTTGGCCCTAATTTCTTTTTCTTTCTTCTCTCCTTCTTAGACTCTTAATTTTATGCACACACACATTATTTATTATATAAAATACATATATGCACATATCTCAATATATACATATACTGTAACTATATATGTATAAATGATGTCTATACATGTATCTATAATATGCACATTATATTTTTGAAGACATGGGTGAAGCTATCATATATGTTATATTTGCATATGTATATTATATATGACATACATGTTTATTAGACTTTCTGATATTGTGCCATAGGTCACTGAACCCTGTTCATTTTTTTTTTATTTCCCAGTCTTTAATCTCTATGCTTTTTAGGTTAGGTAATTTCTGTTGATACATCCTCAGGTTCACTCTTTATTCTGTCATCTCCCATCCTAGGAGTTTTAAGTTTCAGATTCTGTATTTTTAAAAGGGACAATTCATTTTGAATTTTTTTTAATAGTTTGCATTTCTTTGTTAAAATTCCAATTTAAAAAAAAATTCCAATTTTTTAGCAACTGCACATGTATTTTCCCTTACCTCACATCACACACTTAAAGTGGCTCATTGTTGGCATTTGTTGATATTCTTTTCCATGAAAATCAGTCGTATTTTTCTCATTTTTTAAAATTTGTTTTTGTCTTTCTGTGTTAAATAATTTTGGATTGTATTCTTGACATTACAACTGTTAGAGTATTTAGTCTCTGGGTCCTATTATATAATCCTCTAGATATTTTTCGTATTTTGTGTTAGTACACAGCCTGTTTAGATTCTGATCCTGAGTTGTGTTTTGCCTTGTGTAGATGGTTCAAGTCTCAATTCAGTCCCAAGTCTTTCTTTTGTAGCTTTGGATCTGTTCTGCACATGAATTTTATAGGGCTTAGTTGGAGACTTGTACAGATGGTTTGTCTTTCAGTTCAGGTCTCTAATCTTAGCTGCTTTGGTTTGGGTCAGTTTCATAGATGCGAGTTTTGAGTTAGCCAGAGATTTGGATAACTTCCTACACAGAATTGAGAGATTCCCCACCTCTGGTCTTTTCTCTTTGGGATTTCTCCCTATGCCCTCTGCTTCACTGGCCACAAATAGAGTTTTTCTCAGGGTTTTAGCTCCTTGTAGCTGTCTTCATATGCTCCTGTATTCTCCCATGGTGTGGTACTTTTCTATGGCTATGTAGGAAACTTAAGGCTTACAACAATACACTTGTTACCTGAGAGTTTCTGCAGATCTGAGCCTTCTGCTTACAAGCCTCAGCTATTGAAAGATGTTGGCTGGGACCATCATACTCTCCGAAGCATGGCTGACAGAGGCTCCAATTGCTTTTGTAGAAGTTAGCTCCTTGTGGCTTTGGGATGGAAGACCAGAGTTTTGTTGACTAGAAGCTACTTCAACTCCTAATGTATCACTTTTGTTCCTTTCCATTGGGCCTCCCTACATAGACTGTCCGTGACATGGCAGTTTGCTTGTTCATAGGGAGAAAGAGAGTCCATCAAGAGGACTGCTGCAAACTTACCCACTTAATAAAATGTAGCTCATTACCTATGCCACCTTTTGTTGGTTAAAAGAAATCATAGGTCTGAAGGGAAGACTGAAGGGAAGGAGTAGGAGATCATAGGGCACACCATGTGAGAAAAACTAAAGACATAAGAAACTTATTCCTGTGCAGATTACTTCTCCAGTTTTTACTCCTTTCCACCATCTACTGCTTTACCCACTTTTCAGAGTTTCAGGTAAATACTTTGTATTTTGTCCAGAAGTTTTATTTGTAATTAGTAGAAAGGAAGGACTAAAGAAGACTTTATGTCACTATGGAATGGAAACATTATCTATGAGTGGACTTAGTAATAAAGAGTAATTTTAATCGAGTAGTGGGCAGAAACATGATAGTTATTAGAGAGAATGAAAAATTAGAAACTGGAGACTGTAAGGGGAGCAGATAAATGGAGTGGCAACTGGTGGGGGATGTGGGGCCAAAAGAAGGTGTGTAACTTGTTTTCCTTTCTGTTTAAAAAAATATTGTAATGTTTCATTTCCAATGTCAGTTGAGTTATTTTTACATCATTTTAAACAACCAATAGTATTCCATTCTGTGTACATACCAGAATTTTTTCATTGTGTCTCACTGTTAAGTATAAGTGATATTATAATAAATAGCTTTTGATGCACATTTTCAGAAGTATCTCTTATGTGCGTAAGGACAAATTGGTCAAGTACAGTTGTTGTATCCAGGAACATGAATATTTTAAAAGGTGTTTGCTACTGCTGTTGATTGTTATCATGAAATAGGGATGAATTGGTGGAGGAAACATGGCTTAATCCCCTTTAAGTAGTTTCAGTTTAATTCTGTGGGTTTTTTTTTTTTTTGGTGGGGGAGGGCACTGGGAATTGAACCCAGGGCCTTATACATTCCATGCAAACAGACACCTAACCACTGAGCTACATCCCCAACCCTTAATTCTGTGTTCTTAAAACCAGTTACAGTTGCTTAAACATTGGCGGAGGATTAATTATTGGACAAAGTGGGAAACAAGCAAGGATGTAGGAGAAGAGAAAGCAATTAGATTCCTCAAAGATTGGCATTTGTTCATTGTGATAGATAGTACATAGGGCTAGAGAGTTTTAAATACAGACTGAGGACTCAAAATATTTGTCATGGACTCTCACCTGGTCATGGAAGGAAATGAAGGCAACAGAGGATTATTTGGGAAAAAGCGAAAGTGTTTTTCATCCATCTTCCTGTTGTTTTAAATGTGTATTTTAATGTAGTTTTGGTCATACATAGGTAAAATATATATATTTTTACTTTGAAATAATTACTATTTCATAGAAAGTATCAAAGATACTTCACAGAAGTCCTGTGTATCCCTCACCCTCTTTCCCCAGTGATTACATCTTACATAATTTATTTTAGTATCGTATCAAAACCAAGAATTTGGTAATATTTTAGTGTATAATTTATGACACATCTCATTTCAAATGGTAATTCTTGAATTTTTTAGTGATCGTTGCCAACATATAGAAAAGCTTTAAAAATATTTTTATTTTATTTTCTTCATGCACTTTGTCATTGTTTGAAATTATTATCTTTAATTGTGCTTTCATATTCACTTCTGCCTTTTCTCTATTAAGTCTAAGTTTTGAGTTTACTTTGAAATTTCTTGAAATTTGTAACATGTTGATCACACCTTGAATCAAGATTTTAGTGCTAATAGTGGCCTTTTCTTCTTTTTAGGTTTTTTAGATTGCAGCCTTGATTGCACTTTTGTTAAAAGAACTGGTAGTATTCACAGCCTTAAAAGCTCAAGTGGTGTGCGTTTAGTTGAATGTTCCAACAGAGCTCAGTTTCTTCTACTTGTGGCTGTTGAAGCAGGCAGACCCCGGGTATGATGCTCTCTGTTGCTGAAAGAAACTCCTTTGTTGCTATCTCAGGGTACTGAACCATGGCTGCAATTAGAAACCACCTGGGGAATGTTCCTTCACAAAATGCTGAAACCTGGAACCCTGGAGATGGGATTTAAGTGCTATGTACTGGGGCTTTGGCATTTGTGGGGTTTTCTGTTTCCCTTTCAAAGCCTAGTGATGATTCTTATGAGCAGCAAAGATTGAACAACACTAAGCTGTGGTATTCACTGTAGTAGATCTGTCCTTCAGTTTCAATTTGCAAATTCAAGAGCTTGAATGTGTGCATTCCTGTGTGGCTTGTGACAAAATGTTAACATTTTCCCCATGCTTACTCTTTACATTCACTAATCAAACCTGTTTTCTCTACTACAGAATTTAATATTTTCTTTTACTTCTCTTTGGGATTGTTTCATTTCTTATTACACACAAAGACTTACAACATATTATAAATTTACTATCAGTTGAAAATACTTGACTTTCTGAGTGGGAACATTAATTGAAGTTTACTTTTTCAGGGAATGAGAACACAAAGTCTAAATTATTTCTCTCCTTTATTTTCTTTATTCCTCTGTTGTTTGCTTTTTGGTTCCTCATCTGAAAAGTAGGCATTGAGAAGGAGCAGTATATAAACAAGTTAGGACTTGAGGAAAGAACTATTCTGTTTTTATCTGTATCTCTTCTTCCCTGCCATGTCCTTTCATTAGTAAGGCAGCAATATCTATGAATTCTAAAATAATGATTGCTTTAAGCTAGTATGTTTTGGATGTGGAAGCATCTTCCAGTTTTGTATCTTTTCATTCTATTAACCAGAAGTTGTAATGGTTCTTAAAAATCTGTGAGTCACAATGCTCAGAAAAATTTTACTTGAAACCTTAACTGCATTGCTGATAAAATGAAGCCTACTCAAAATGCTATCATTACATGTAGTGCATAAATTTTATATATCTTGACCATCATTTCAGGAGGAATTGGCTTCCTTGCCTATTTTACTCTTACTAGTGATTCAAAAAACAAAAAATTGAACATGGCTACACCTGAAAATGAACATAGCACTTAGTCTTGATGCAATTTTTAATTTTTGAAAAAATTTTTAGGTGATTCAGTCTGGACCAAAAAATTAAGGAAAAAGTCTGCTGACACAGGAGGGAAATGTGCCAGGCTGATTTAGTAGGTTTTGGAGAAAGGATTCAAGAAAAAAAGATGAAGAATCATTCATTCCTGAAAGTAAGTACCAAGTCAGGTAATTTGTTGCTTATTGATAAGAAAAAACTGCAGATTATTTCTTAGTCTGCTCAGATATAAGCATATATGGCAAAATTTTCTTTGGGAAAATTTTTTTTGTGCAAAATTTGAAATGTTCTCATCATTTAGCATTCCGTATTATTAACGTTTATGTGAATATTTAATGACAGTTGAGTTTTGACATTTGTAGGGAATTTTAAAATCCTTATGTGTAAACTGAATTTGCTTCATAGTAAACAGGCAAATACAGGATGTGTGAAGTGTATTAGTGGAACTGCCTAGTGGATTTTGCTTTAGCATTTGTATATTTTGATTTTAGGATACTTGTTACTTTGGTTTGAGTTATTTATATTGTCTCCATAAAGATGAAGAAAATAATTTCTTAAGTTACTGCTTTTTCTTTACAGCTACAGCTGACCTTATGACTCCAGAGGAAAAAGATAAACTCTTTCCTGCTATTGGTTATAGTGAGAACACTTTAACTTAACTTTACCCAAGCAGGTAATTATTAGGGTGGCTTAACAGGCATTTTGATTCATTTTATTGTATTTTGATTGAAGTAAATTATTGACTTTTAAATGACTAAAGGAAATATTTTATCATTAGTTTCTGCTTTGGCATTTAATTGATGCTTTCAGTCAGGCCTTACCAATTAAAATTCTCTCTTCAACTTTAGATTTAATTACCTTAGTGAATGTGAATCTAACCAAGCAAAAAGTACTTAGAGTGTTAAATCAATTCTTTAAAATTTTTTATTGCAAAGTTTAACTGATATGTAAAAGAGTGACTAAAACTAAAATGTCTTGCTTATTTGATTGATTAAAAATGGAACATTTTGTAATATGTAATTAGTCCTGTGGACGAGCTGCCTAAGTCCTTCAGCTCTGGTCTTCTTTATGATTGCATTATCTCTTCTTGGCTCTTCAAACTTCATTAAGTTTTAGAATCAGCTGGTCAGTTTCTACGAAAAGAATTAAGATTTTCATTGGGTGTTTATTGAGTGTATAAATTAATTTGAGGGAGAATTGATATTTTTATGTCTTTTAATCTGTAAATATAGCATACGCCTCTCTTTATTTGCCTCTTCCATTCCTCTTGGTGAAGTTTTATGGTTTTCTCTAATGTCTTTTTTCATTGTGCTATAAATGTCTTTAAAGTTTGATTGAAGTAGAATTTACAAGCCATAAAGATCACTGATCTGGAGGCAAATTTTGGAAAAGAACATTTCCATCCTCCCCAAAAATTCCCTGCTAACTTTTTCCAGTCATTTTTCTTAACTTGTTTTTAAAAGCAACCACTTTATCACTTCGTCAGCATTGCAACTTTTTCCTGCTCATACTTAGTTTGTTTCTAAGATAATGTATTGGATATTCATCCATGTTTTTTGTGCTTTGTTAGATACTTCCTTTTAATTCTTGAATCATATCTCATTGCATAAATATACCATAATATTCCACCCATGTACTGTATATATTTTTGCTGTTGGCTGTTAATAACACTGTTGTTAACATTCTTGTATAACTTTTTCATGTTTATTAGCATATATTAATTGTACAGGGGGGATTTATGTTGATAATTCCCAATTCTGAATAGCCTTACATTGTATATTGATTAGATGACCCCCACCATTCCTCCTCAACCCCTGCCCCATCCCACTTAAAGCAGTTGCAAGAGATTTTATTGTTCTATTTCACAAGTGTCTTGTATAAGTTTTTTGGGTACATATATTTCCATTTCTGTTTCATAAATACCTAGAAACAGAATTGCTGAGTCATAGGGTAGGTATATGTGTCACTTTTTAAGAAGATGGCAAGTAATTCTCCAAAACTGGTTATAGTGTTTTATATTCCTACCACTCATTCCAGTTCCCCACTTCCTTGCTGCATTTGGTATTTTCAAGCTGTTTACTTTTAGCCATTCTGTTGGGGACGACATGGAACTCTACCATAGCTTTCATTTTCATTCTCCTGATGACAAACAGAGTGCCTTTCTTCATGTCTTACTGACATCTGTCTATGTTCACTTGTGGAATGTCTAGTACAGTGTTTGTTGCCCACTTAAAAACAGAGTTGTTTTCCTTTTATTTTTGTGGAAATTCTTTCCCTATTCTGCTTACAAGTCTTGTCGTATGTACATGTAGAGTTACGTGACATTGTAATTTGTGCGCATATTTCTCAGTGTGTGCCTTGCCTGTTGATTTTCTTAATTGTGGTTATTTATGAGAAAACTGTGTTTTGATGTTTTTCTTTTGGTTGGTACTAACATTAGATCTGTTCAGTAAATCTTTGCTTACCTCAGAATCACAAAGATACTGTCCTGTGTTTTCTTTCTAGAAATGTTATGCTGTTCTGGGTTTTATATTTAGTCTTGTATCCATCTAAAATGACTTTTAGTGTTTAGAGTGGCACCAAGGTCAAGGTTAAGGTTTATTTTTTCCCTATGCCCAGTCAGGTCTTTGAACAGTATTTGCAAGGCTTTTGTGTTTTTCTTGTTGAATCGCATTAGCCCTTTGCTTGGAAATAGTTTGCCTCCATGTATGTGGGTGTGTTGTGGGATTCTCTTTAATTGAACTCTTTTCTACGCTCACACTAATGTCTCCCTTACCCCACCTAGATTATTATAGTTTCTAGTAAGACCATCAACTTGGTTTTCTTTCCAGTTTTTCTTTTTGTAGTGGTAGGAATCGAACCCAGGGCCTCATCCTTATTAGACAAGTGCTCTATCACTGAGCTACATCTACAGGCCTCGGTTTTCTTTCCTTTTTCTTCTTTAAAGGGTGCTTTGACTATTTTAGATTGTTTGAACTTTTAGTTCTTCTTACCTGTGTTTTCAAAAGTACATTCTACAGTTTTGTTAGAAATTACATTGAATGTGGAGATTATTTTTGGGAGAATAGTAATTGTAGCAACTTGGATATTCTAGTCACTTAGTTCCTTTCTGTCTTTCTGACCATCAATCTGTCATTATTTCTGTTTTGTTTGAAGAATGAATGTTCATTATCGCTTTCCTTTTAATGATGGCATACTTAAAATTAGTTTTTGTAATTTTTGTTTTTCTGGAAATACCTATTTTCTATTCTTTCTTGTTGGATATCCCCGCCCCCCTCGCCTGTTTAGTATTCTAGGTTGTTAATTATTTGTTGTCAAAGTTTTGAGTATACAATTGTGTTGCAGTTTGGTCTCCATTGTTTCTCTTGTGAGTTTTATTCTATCACTTTGATTATCATTTCCAATCATCTCTGCCCTTTATGGATCTTTAAGGTAATTTCTTTACTGTAGATTTATGTAGTTTTACATAATGTATTCATTTTCGTTTAAATGGTTTGAATTTTTTTATACTGGTAATGCACCCAGGGCCATGTGCATGCTAGGCAATTGTACTTTACTGAGCTACATCCCAGCCCTTGGCTGGCCAGTTGGCCTTCCTTCTTTTCCTTCCTTTTTTTCCTTCCTTCCTTCCTTCCTTCCTTCCCTCCTTCCTTCCTTCTCTTCCTTCTTCTTCTCCTCCTTCCTCCTCCTCCTTCCTCCTTCCTTCCTCTCTCCCTTCCTTCCTCCCTTCCTTCCTCCCTTCCTTTTCTAGCATGTGTCATGAGGTCTCACCAATTTGGAAAATTTATCACTTCATTTTGTTTCTGTTACATCATTCTTTTCCTCTTTTACTTTTGAGAGTAACAATGTATGTTGGATCTTCTCGTGGTATCTCATGAGTTTCTTGTTTCTTCTTCATCTCCAAGTTACTTATTCATTCTTCATTTGGATAGTTTCCTCCAATTCTCTCTTGGGCTGTTTATTGTTAAACTCATGCATTTAATTCTTACGGGTTTGGGTTTTTTTTTTTTTTTTTTGTATTTTTTAGTCCTCAAATTTCCATTTGTTTCTTTTTTCCTAATAGCTTTGAGATCATGAACTAGAATACTCAGTTTTGTGTCTCATCTCTTTGAACCTAGTAAACAAAGCTGGTGCCTAAGCTTGGATTTCCTGTAGGTCTAAAACTTGATGTATGGAGCTTCTGTGATTTTGCTTCTGGTTTTTGTTATTTCTGTGTGGTTTTCTGTTTATTGAACATACTGAAGTTTGTTTTTATAAATATTGGGCCTGGGTTTTTTTTGTTTGTTTTTGTTTTTTTCTGTTGGAGAAATGGAGAAGTAATATCTTTCTCCATAATAGATGGAGAAATTAAGCAGAGGGAAATTAAACAGAGATGGTGGCTCTGCAGTACCAGCAAATGGGATCAGAATATCTCATGTTAGGGACTGAGATGATTTGGTGCTATAATGCAGATCTGTGGTCTGTCTGCTTCCAATTCACCTTTATTCCCAGGAGTTAGTCCTTTAGGGTCCCAGCCAGAAGAAAAGAAGTTTTGAGAGTGCCCTTGCTCTTTGGTGGGACTTGGTTTCCAGTTTCTGCACTATGAGTCTCATTTCACAGGCTCAGAGTTGCCAACTCTTAAATTTTCACATTTCTCCAGATCCCAAATTCCAGAGTCATCTCCCTGGTGTTTCTCTGTCTTATCTCCAGTCTTGACTCAGCGATTTTTAGATATGTGTGTGTGTTGTTAATTCTCTAAACAGATAATCTCAAAGTGTTTTTTCTTTTTCCTCAGAGGATTGATCAGAAATACTTAGTTTACTTTAGTGAAAACTGCTGAATTGAATCTTTCTGCCACAAAACGTATTGTTGTCTTTTCATTATCACCTTCAAAACTAAGAGAAAGGAACTTTTGATCTTTTGGAAATGTTCTGTTTGGGATAGGCAGTTTCATTGAGTTTTCTAATGTTCATTTATTGTGAGTGTATGGATACCAGAACCAACGTGCCTGGTTGGATCACCATTTAATTCAACATATTTAATTAAGAAGAAACTATTAAAACAATTATTTAAACTCTAACAGTTTTCATTTATCCTTCTGTATTTAGTATGTTGCCCACATAATGACCCTGAAGTTAGTAAGCGCCTCTGTCACACTCAGAGAAAACAAAAATATTCCAGAAATACTAAAATTCAGATAATTGACCTGGGCACCCATGTATCTCAGCGACCAGGAGCACAAGCTCTAAGGTAAATTTAAAAACTTCAGTGTTTACTTCTAATTATGATTCTAGGCCAAAAATGTAGAACGTTATTCAGCATTAAAAACTGAGTTAGTAATAGCTCTTCTTTAATTCCTTTTCTTGGTGTGTGCCAGGATAGTCTTTTATGTTTTGTTTTATAATGGAACAATATAATTCATGATTTATTCCACCCTTCATCCTTTCCTGCACAACATTTATCATATAATAATTTATGTATAGTCTCCATACCATGAAAACTGTGCATATGTACAGTAAGTTTCTTTTTTCAAGATGTTTATATTGCAGTTGATCAGAGAGGATATATAGAACGTTAATAGTTTAAGAACTATGTAGCATATTACATAACTCAAGTGAATAGGTGCTGTGACATTAAAAATCTCACAGTGCTATGCAGGCTTGGTTGTGAGTGAGAATAACTGAGCCTGGAGGAAGGTTAAGCTAGTGAATGGAAAGCACACTGGGAGACCTAGGGAGGAGGAGAGGCATGAGAGTGACATGAAAATGGGGACATGTGGTCTGTGACACTGTGACACATGAGCTTTTATGCCTACAGCAGTGATCAGAACTTCTGTAGTGTTCTGGGCTTGGCTAAACTGGGTCTTTCATGTGGCTGATGAGAAGTTAATAACAACAGTAACAGCAGCAACAAAAGCAGATTATGTGCATAAATGAATGCCAGGCTGAGGCAGTGGGCAAACATTTGTCTCTCAAAGGAGTTCTTAAAGGAAAAACTTGGGATTTAATCCATTGCATTATAAAGGATCTTATTGCTTCCCTTTTCTTAATTGGATCATAAAGTAGAAGCAAAATCAGAACACTGATATATAATAGGTTCTGAAGCAAGATATTTACCATCACTTGTAGCTTCAGTTGCCTGATACTGCATTGCCCTTCTTTAAAACTGAGTTTGAAACCAATCCAGAGGGCAGTCCTGCCGACCAGATTCTCATCATTCAGTCTCAGCCTGTTGAGGTTATTTATAATGCTGTAAATGCAAGGAGAACATGACTCTATTAAAATGATTTGTATTTTTCTCTTTTTTTTTTATTTCCTCAAAGTTTCTCCAGTTAATGTTGAGAAGTGGAGTTCTGACTAATCAGAGGTCCAAACTAGACCTCTGTTGCTTTTTCCATATGTCCCTCTGGAGTGTCTCTGCTTCTGTAATCATGTGCACATGCCTGCTCCCCTCCAGCAAGTTTACTTGCCTGTTCCTTTCTCAAGGTTCTCTCACCCAGAGAGGTGCAGTAGGACAAAATATCTTTGCATTCCTTCCTCAGTTCAAAGCCACAGTTGTTTAGAATTGAGGTGAACCATTCCAATTTATAATGGAGAAAGAATTATGTATAACCTTTTTATATTTTATAATTCTTTTATAGACAACCATCAATGCAGTGCTTGAATTCTTTCGATCAAACAAGGGTTTGGATCTTGAGCAAATAACATCAGCTACGTTGACAAAGCTGGAAGAAGTTAAAGCAAGAACAGCTAAGGTGAGTTTGATTGTCTACATAAGCATCAGTTGTAAACAGTATATGTAAAGTAGAATAGGTTGCTTTTTTTCTGTTGTAAACTGGTGTTGTATTGTTCAGTGGTCACGGCTTATTCAAAGTTCAATATGATTGTTGGCCTGAGTAGAAAGAGAATTAACGTGGGTACAGATGATTCTGCCTGCATTACATTCAGGAATCCATGCTTCACAATGAGCTTGAGGTGGAAAACCTACCTCCATTGCAGTTCTTCAGCAGCTGTTCAGCTGCTGAACATGAGTGACTCTAGTTTTAAAGATAAGTGTTTTTGTATTACATGGTCTTAAAACTCAAGCCAACTGTTTTATCTAGTTGCTTAACCAAGGAAATAATAAATCATTCTATCCCTAGGTACAGTACTCTGTTGGGTTTAGTATGTTATGCTATGATGTGATCGTTTTCCATTGATTATATGCAGTTTTCACATTCTGTGCTGAATTGGGATTCTTAATTTGAGACAAAAATTTGTACTCTTCCTTAATATTTTTCAAGGAAAATTGTTACCCTTGTTAATAGTATGATCACAAATTTCAACTTGACTACCTAATCTTATTTTATTTTTTGATCTTCTTTAGGACTTACACATATTATTGAACCTTGAAAAGTCCTTGATTTAAGGGTCAATCTAAAGCCTTGTCTGGTAATTCCTCAGACAGGTTTTCACCAAGAAATGTCAGATATTCTGATTTTAGATTTTGGTACACTTCAGGTAGGTATAGATGCTTTTTTGTCTGCCCATCTTTGACAAGCTTGGTAACTGACTATCTGATACCTTGGTGTTTTTTTTTTTTTTTTTCTTCCCCAGTTTACTTGAACTAAACCTACACTAATTTTTTTCCAGCTTAGCTTAGAATATTTCACATATATTGTATGTCTGTTAAAACTAACAAAGATACTCCAGAATTTTCTGTAATTGTAGGAGATTTGACATTGAGGACCGGATTGCATCCCTGTTTTCCTAGTTGGAGAGAAGCAGTCTTAGTTTTCATTGTTTACAGTTTATGTAGTGTTAGTTGTTGCTTGTATATTTTGACAATAGAAAACTACACATATGAATATATGTTTAACTGTCATCAGTAACTAAGTACAGTAAGTGAACTCTTTACATTATGGATTTTGTATCTCATGGAATCCAAGCCTCTCTGGAAATTTCTGATGATTTCCAGAAATTTAGTCCTGAATTGATACTTTATTCTGTTGGGAAGAGGGAAAATGAAGTAGAGATTAGAACTAAATTCTAATAGCTTAATAAGTTTCATGGTAAAGGAGGGAAAAGCATCAAAACTGTGCTATTCATAGTAAAGGGTGCAAGGGTAGTAGTAGGGAAGGTGAATCTATGGGTCAGGAAGAGGAAAAGTTGCCCTTCTAGACAGGTTATTTGGGGCAGATAGCATGTGATTCATTGATGAAAGTGTGTAGCACCTGTTACACTAACAGTAAAGATGTATGCTGAAACACTAGTTTCCTAATAAAGTATTTACAAATAATTACCAATAAATTTAGCAAAATGTGTATTCCTTGAGGATAATCTTCTCACTTTAGATTTCAATAAAAAGCATCTATAGTATGTTGATGTATATACATTTCTGTTAAGAAAAAGATTGAGGCTCTTTTCCTCCATTTTAGCTCAGCAGTAATGATTGAGGTTTATGGGAGACTACTAATTTATGTATGGAAGAAATAATGAAGCATATGAAAGTTTGATGTGCAGCTTCAAAATAAAGACTGAAATAAAGACTGTGCAGCTTCTCTTCATAAGATCAGGTAAACCAATGTTCAACTTTTAGACGTTCAAATTAGTTTGAGTAGTATTGGTAATATATGTGCATATATTTGCACATGTATATCAACCCTGATGACTATTTTACATACATATCCTGCTGGTCACTTTAGAAAATCAAATGGGGGCGTACCAGTGCAAACACTGTCACCTTTATAGATAGAAATAGAAATTTGGTTATTCATATTAGGGTTCTGGTACCATTTGAATCTAAGCCCACTCATGGTCTGTGTCTTTGTAATGTGACTATGAAACCACTCAGACATAAATGGAAGTCTCAGTTGGTTCAACTACCTCTGTCCTAATCCTTTTGGAATGTTTCTTCCCTCACTGTTTTTATTGTTAAATATTACTATATGTTAGTTTACCCTTTATTTCTGTAGTACTACATTTGCTGTTCTGAGTATGTGAAAAGTGTATCTACAAACTAATACAGGTTGAGCTGCCCTAGTATAGAAATCCTTAAAGTAGTTCCCGTTCTTTTCATTGTAGTCACCCATTCACTTGTATCACCCGCCTTGATCACTAATTCTGGAGTTGAGGTAATAAATTCCTCCTTTGTCTCCCATTAATTTTGAAATGCAAGATACACTATCAATATTCTTCAAATATCCAGTTATTTTTATCAGAATCTTTGACTTCTGTAGATCTGCATTAAAATATAGATTATTTAACTTTTATGCTGAAAGAAGTAAAAGTTGGTATTCATTGAATATGCCTGTTAAGTATTTTCTAGTAATATAGAATAGTTTTGCACAGAATATCTGATTTTCAAAAGTCATTTAGTATTTTAAATTATTTTTTAAGAGAGAAAGTGGAAAATGATGATTTTAGCATCCATCAACTATGCATATATTGCAGCCAATGGATATTCATAGTGAGTTGGCCAAGGCAATGGTAGGAAAGGATATTAAAATGGCCAGGTAATGTATAAGTTCCTTTTATATTAGAAATCAACAGGGTGAACTATATCTGAATCAGTTACTGAGTCTTAAGGAAGCAAAGATATTTGTGGGAGACAAAAATTAATGCTTATTCTCTTTAGAAAATATATTAAAGAAAATAGTTTTGAGTGGTATTTCTTTTTTCTTTATTTTAATCAATACGGGGTTTGAACTCAAGGCTTCATGCTTGCTAGGTAGACTCTCAACCCCTTGAGCCACACCCAGCCTGAATGATAATGTTTTTATCTTGGAATTTGTATAATAATTAGTGATCTGTGATTTTGAGATGATGCAATTCAAGGTTCAGTATCATCAATGAGGTAATATAAAAAAATTAGAGGCTCTTTTGGTATGAAACCACATTAAAAACTGAGAGAATCAGGGCAATAAAAAATAGAAACAGAATTAAATGATTATGAAATATTCATTGTCCTTTTTTTTTGGCCGTACTTGCATTTACTGGTAGACTGTGGCTACTGTCAGAGGGTCTGCGGAGGGATACAGCCTATCCCATAGGGTCCAGGCGTCCAAACTCTTGGTTTCTGTCCCCACAGGGGCCCTTCCCACCACTCCTGGCCCAGCCCCCGATGATGCTGCTGCTGGGGAGACTCCTCTGCTCATCTCTGCAGGCACAGTGTTCATCCTGGCCATTGCCCTGCCCCGGTGTTGCTCAGCTGGACCTGACCTGTGACCCCACGACGAAAAGGACAAGGGAGCAGGACCACATGGACTGGGACCCCGGAATTCAGGCCATGCTCTCCCTGCCACACCTGCCCTGCATGCACAGCCTAGGGTTCTGTGCACTGCCAGAGAGTCCACACATGTGCTGCAAGGGGTTGCTTTTCCTTTGGGGAAAGAGACTGCAGGCACTAATGGACAAGGCAGCAGCCCACTCGTGTCCCAGGCTGCCCCAGGACGCCATTATCACGGTGTCCTGTGGACTGCAGGAGTTGAAGTCTGGCCACGCCTGCTTCGTGTCCAGCTCCTGGCCCGAGCACAATGCAGGCGAGGCCACCATTACTCTGGGCTGCCCTGGCAGCGCCCTGAGCCTGGTCGCTGAGTACAGTCAGGGCAGTGGGCACCTCCACCTCCAGCAGCTGCATGCTGAAGGCCAGGAGGTGCCCAGGCAGGTGCTGCCTCAGCCTGGTCCTGAAGCCACAGGGTGCGTAGGGTTCCGGGGCAGCTGCAAGGCTTCCTTGGACCAGGACTTCTGCATTGATGGCCTCGCGAGGAGCAGGTACACTGCCTGGATGTGTATGTCAAGGCCAATCTCAAGGGCCAGGCCTGGAGTGGGGGGTGCCTGCTGGGCAAGGGCGAGCTGCTGCTGACTGCATCTGATTCTTTAGAGTCTGACAGCACCTGTTGTTAGGTCACTGTACAAAATAAATATTATTTATTTGTATTCATGATCTTCCTTTATTGACGTTTTAGTTTTTGGTCTACAGCTCTGTAGATTTGGTACAGAAGGAAAAAGTAGTGACACCCTCCCCATTCACAGCCCAGATTTCTCTTTCTAGACCAATTTTATTTGGAAAGGTAGAAAGGGTTGGCTTGGGACTAAAAGAGAAAGAAAGTGTTGGATCTGGAAACCTAAAGAGCAAATGAGTGAGTATCCCATCCCCCATGGAGAGCATTATGATTCCTGCATCCTGAGGAGGAGGTGTAAATCTGCATTCCTGCACCCTGAAGAGGAGATACAGGGTCTCATAGATCTGCCACAGTGCTGATGAGCAAAGTGCTCTCAACATTGTTCGCTCCTGCCCCCAATAAGGGGCAAACAAACCAGCTCATCTAAGCGCAAGAATCCATGGCCAATGAGAAGAGCCCACCTAACCCTTACCCAAACTCAGAATTAAAACATCCATAAAAGCCCCAGCCTTCACCTGAACAGGGAGCCACTGGTTTCTGGGCTCCCCTGCACTGCTCTAGCTGTAGCTGTAAATCTTACTTCGTGTACCGGCTTTGGGTCATCTGCATGAGCCAGTTCTCTGGCCTGTGAAGCCAAGGACCCTCGACCCCCTACAACATTTCTCACCAGCACATAACAAAGGAGGTCCCCTCATGAAAGGGGCACTGTTTCTCGTGCTCCCTCCCTTGCTTGAGCAAGCTTTCTCTCTGGCTCCTTGGTTATTACTGGACCTAACAGGGCTTAACTGGGTATGACTGAAGATTTCAGTGAAGAGAAGCGACATGGGATAGACAGAAAGTTGGGGTCAGGTGTGTTTATGCTTGGCTGGAGATACACAACCCTTATTGCTGCTTTTTCTCTATCTTGATTCTTTAAGGCCTTACTCCTTGCAGTTCTTTAAAACTTTGCTTAAAACCTCTTTCCTTAGGCTTGCACTGTCCCATGTTTGCTCTTAGCTTATCTTTAGCTTAATTGCTCTTAAATCTTTTGCCCCACCTCGGCACTGTCTTGGGTGCTCAAACTTGCAAACAGCCAGACCTACAACATGCATATACATAAGTCTTAAAGTCTCATCTTAGACTTGCACTGTGCACTGTCCCAAATTCTCTTTGGCTTTTCTTTTCTTTTCTAAGGCCTATGTATGAAGTTCTTTCTCAGCTTTGCTTTCTGAAGCCTATGTTAAAGTTCTTGGTACAGATTTTCTATCAACTCCTCTTTAGCAATTTCCCTTTAACAATTCTTTTACCTTCAGCAATTTTTCCTTTCAATAATTCTTTTCCCTTCCAAAAGCTTCCCACACCAAAAGGCCCAAAGTAAAAGCCTCTGTCTTAAAACCCAGTATTCCAGGAAGTGGCAATTTGCATTTCAACTCATCTGGGAATTCCTATTGCAGTGCTAATGAAGAGGAAGATTTGCCTTGAGGCAGGGCCTTAAAACATGGAAGCTGCCAATTAAAACCTGTAAAAGAGGTTACCTAACAGGGCCATAAGGCATGAGAAATTGCCAATTAAAGCTATACAAGGAAGTTCAAAGTCTAGATAAAGGGTATCATACAGAAATAATCACGCATTCCTGCCTTCCTTTGTCTCTCTTGTAAATAAAACTTT